ATGTTTTTTACATATGCTTGTAATGCAGTTTCTACAAAAGTTCTCCATGATTTAATTGTATTTTCTGCTTCATAGGGTCTTGGATCAGTTACTTCAAATTTTTTTTTTTTTTTTTTTTTTTTTTTTTTTGAGACATGGTCTCAGTTTGTAGGGCAGGGTGGATTTAAACTCACCATGTAGCCCAGGCTGGCTTAGAATTCCCTGTGTTCTTCCTGCCTCAGCCTCCTAAATGCTGGGATTCCAGGTGTGCACCACCACACCTTGATTGTTTCCTTAAGTGATTCGAAACAGATTTTGTTCTTTGGATTCAAACACTTTCCATTTCCCAATTTGCCAAGTTCAGTTATCAGTCCTGGTCTTTGTAATCTTCAATTTTTACTGGAGTAAACTGGTCCAAGTTATATGGTGCAAATGTATGGGCTGTTCCTTCCCTGAGAAGGTTATCATTAAGCCATAACTGAACATCATTAAAAACCTCCTTGAACCCTCCAGGAAGGGCATGAATGATGAATTTGGCTGCTGTACACATCTCTTTAAACAACTGCCCTTCCAGGTCACCAACTTCTTTTTGGGGACAAACTGTGGTGATGATGGTGGTGGCAGTGGTCATCTACCCTGCCCCTCTCCATATGGCCCTTCATGCCCGCGCCAGGGGAGGGGCTGGCCATCCAGGCCACCGTGCATGCTCCCCCAAGACACCTGCCTTTAATGCTGCAGAAGAGGATATTAAAAAAGAAGTCTCACCTGAAAACATCTGGAACAAGTCAGCCAGTTGATGGTTCCCCATAATCTCCAATATACATCTCTCCAGGACTTTAATTCTTCAAAAAGACTATTCAAGTACTCGTGAACATCCCAAGTCTTATCTCTGGGGAAAGAGTCTCAATTGTCACATTATTTTACAAGCAAGCAATATGAACAATTTGTTTCCAACAAATGCTTTTTAAAAATCTGTGGCTTGGGCTGGGGATTTAGCTCAGTGGCACAGTGCCTGCCTGGCAAGCATGAGGTTGTGAGTTCGATTCCCAGTACTGGGGAAAAAAAAATTTGTGGCTTATTTCCACAAATATTCCTGAAATGACTGTGTGGTATGGGCTCAACGAAAGGTACAAGAGTGATCAAAATATATACTAATTTTTTCTGGAACCAGAAATCAAACTGAGGACCTGGTGCTTGCCAGGCAGGTGCTGTGCCACCACAACCTAAAAGTTTAAATTTAGAAAATTATTATAGTGAAAGACATTATCATTAATCCCCCCCAAAATACTCTCCTCATTTTGAACACACTTATCCCGTCATTCTTGCCACTTTCTGAGGCTGTTCTGGAAGTCCTCTTTCCTGCCTTTATGAGTTGTGATCAGAAATACAGTGAAGGCTGCTGCTGAATGACATCCAAGGAAAGGCAGGCTGGGAAATACACTATGGTGAGTCCTCATCCACCTTACTGACCCAGGCTAGCACCATGTGCAACTTCTGGCTCTTTCCCAAAGTCAAAATGACTGGGAAAGGTAAACATTTTCAATCCACTCAGGACATCAAAGCAGCCATGACAGCTCAACCAAAGATATTCATGAAAGAGGGCTTCAAGGACAGCTTTAGAAAGTGGCAAAACAATGGGATAAGTGTGTTCGAAGTGAGAGGGAGTATTTTGAGTTAGATTAATGGCAATGTGTCTTCCTCCGCAATAATTTTATTTTAAAATTTAAACATTCATTGTAGCTTTGACCATACCTCACAGATAAAATTTCATTTCGGTGTTTGTTTATTCTTTGGGCATTACAAGAAGGTATGAAAGACTGAATGCCAAACTGTTATTGCTATTTGTTAATTTTTAATTATTAATTAAATTTGAACAGGTCAACAACTGAGACAGAGGCACCGAATGGAAACTTTACACTAACTGCACTATGCTCTGACATGTGGTACAGCAGTGGTGATTCCAGATTTCATTAGCATGGTGACTTTTTACATTATTTCCAGACAGCTTTTCTATAACTAAGCAACACAGTAATATGCAACCAGGTCTTAGTTAAAAACAGCACACCTGTTTTTAAAGTTGAAGAGAACTTTTCAAATACATGCATCAACTGTTGTTGAATAAAACAATAAAACTGGATGTTGAAGCTATAGTACCAGCTTTTTATTTTTGACTTGCAATTATTTTATATTTGTTTTTTTCCTTCCGGATCTAGGAATCGAACTCACAACGTCGTGCTTGCCAGGCAGGCGCTGTGCCTGCTGAGCTAAATCCCCAGCCCCTCACATACTACTATTGGTATTAATAATTACTGCTATCCGAGCTGGGCATGTGGTATGTGCCTGAAATCTCAACACTCTAGGAGGCTGAGGCAGGAGGATCACAAGTTTGAGCCCAGCCTGGACAATTTAGGAACTTAGAAGAACTTGTTGTTCATGTTATTAACACAAAAGTCAAATTAAGCATAGCTTTGTTTTTGTTTAAATGTTTAAAATATAAAATGTAATACCTGTAAGATTTTTTCTTTAATAAAGTAGTACACATTTACAATACAGAAAAAAGAAGAAGTAAAAAGAAAACTAAAGCCACCTATAATACTATCACTTAATATTTTAGTGCACATGTTGCCAGGTGTTTTATATCCTCCTCCTATTTTATTTTATTTTTTTAGGTTTTCTCTGGTACCGGGAACTGAACTCACGACCTTGCGCTTGCCAGGCAGGCGCTTTGCCGCTGAGCTAAATCCCCAGCCCCTCTCCTCCTATTTTAAAAAATTTACCACTAATGACTTCCTAGGTAAGTATTTTTTTCAGCATAAATTCTTAAATGCTGCATGGTAAGAATTATTAGATGTGTTTTCCATTGCTCTACATGCATGGATATATTTTAATATGCGTAATCATCTTAGTATTATCTTTTTTTCTTGGCTATTTAATACACTTAATAAAGCAATGGGTGTCTTTGTTAAATGCACTCACATTCTTTGGATAAATTTCTAGGAATTTTTTTTTTTTTTTTTTTTT